AAAGCAAAATGTGGGGGTGCCCCCAAATGTGTGGGACGCAGAGTGCTGGACCTGAGAGCATTGCTTCACCCGAAACAGCACGAGCTGTGAGCGCAGCGCCGCCTTCATCCCCGCCGTGCTGATGAAGGCCGCAGTCGTCCTTTCGCTGTTTATCCCCCCGAGGTTTGGACAGAAACGGGTGTGGATCAGCAGAGCAGCGACTTCCATGCACAGGGGTGAGCAGGAGGCGGTTTGGTGCCCCTGGCTGCTGGGAAATGCTGTTGTTGTGCAGAGAAGGAAAAGCGCAGCCTGCCAAGCGCTGCCCTGGCCTCCAGCACTGCAGCTTTCCAATGGCTCTTGGCCTTCCTTACGTCTTGTCACGGAGTTGAGCAGATCAATCCATGTCTGTGACAGGGCGACAGGCCTCTGCCCTCCCCCCCACCCCAGTCCCACAAAAAAATGGCAAGGAAGGAAGGGAGGAAAAGAGCAGCGGCAACAACCTATGGAGGAAAACATTTTACTATGATATCGGAATACAAAATAACACAATCTATACAATTCAATTGAAATTGAGATGAATAAATCAGACAAGATGAGAGAGAAAGAGTTCCCAGGACCGATTCAAACCCGGAAAGCTTGGAACGGCCAGGAAAGCACCTCCAGCACCCACTGCAAGGCAGCCAGAGAGCGACCCCCCCACCCAGAAGGGCCAGATCCCAGGACTGCTGTCATGTACAGGGATGGGAACCTGGGATTGGGGCAGTGACACTTTAATGCCCCGTGCACTGCATGGTGTTTGGATGTGGAATACTGAAACCCAAAAACAAAACAAAACGAAAACGTGGAATACTGAAACCCAAAAACAAAACGAGAACATAAAACCATGACACCTCTGGATCTCCCCCCCCTTGATCAAACCCAGGTCCCGGATGGATTCAAGGCGTGGAAGGAGGCGCTCTGCAGCTGGCAGCGTCGTGCAGGCAGGCGCTGGGAGCTCCTTGGAGCCCCGCCGACCCGGTTTGCATCTCTTTTTTTTTGCAGGACGTGTTTGAGATGCGCTTCGCCAAGATGCCGGATGAACCGGAGGAACCGGTGATCCCGGCCTCCTCTCCCGTGGTGGTTCCACCTCCGACCAAAGTGGTTCCCCCTTCGTCCAGCGACAGCAGCAGCGACAGCTCCTCCGACAGCGACAGCTCCTCCGACGACTCGGAAGAGGAGAGGGCTCAGCGCTTAGCGGAGCTCCAGGAGCAGGTAGGCTGCCCTGCGCCGCCCCTCTTGGTGTTGCCTCGGTCGTCTGCTGCGTTTCTGTGGGATGGCAGGAGGGATTTCTTCGCTCACAGGGCGGTCAGGGCCCGGCGCTGCTGCCCCCGGTTGTGGCAGCAGGAAGGGATGGGATGCGGAGGGACGTGGGATGGAGCAGTGAATCCACGCACAGCTGACTGAGGATGCTCCCAGGTTGGAGCTCCTGCGCTGTGCCGACAGGCTGAGCTCAGGGCGTGCAGCCTGGAGAGGAGAAGACTGCAGGGAGACCTCACTGCGTCCTTCCAGGACCTCAGGAGATCTCATAAACGCTTCTGATCTCTTTGGCCACGGTGATGGGATGAGGGGAACGGTTTAAAACTCCCAGAGGGGAAACTGAGGTCAGGTGTGAAGGGGAAATTCTTCCCTCAGAGGGCAGTAAGGCCCTGGCGCTGCTGCCCAGAGCTGTGGTGCCCCATCCTGGAGGTGCCCACAGGGTGGGGGGCACCCAGCCGTGGCAGGGGGGCTTTTGGGGTCCTTCCAACCCAACCGTGCTGTGACCCCATCATTCGGCACTAAACAGAGCAGGGTGCAACGCTGAAAGAGTTTCATTTCTTCTTCTGCTGTGTGCCATGAGGGCTGCCCCTCGTCGTTAAACAGACAGAGCACCTTTTCTCAAGCCTGTGCCTCTGCTCCTAAAGAAACTGCAGGGACGTCCCTTCCCAGGCTCAGCTTGCCGTAAATCCTGAAGGCCAAAGGTGGCAGCGGAGCTCAAACACCCACAGCTGGAGCTTTTTGTGCTCCAGCTCCCACACGCTCCACGCTGCAGCCCTCGCCCCAGAGCACCCAGGCTGCCCAGCAAAGCTTCGCCCCACCTGGAAGAGCAGAACCAGCCAAGCTGTGCTCAACCCAGCGAGCAGAAAGAGCAGCTGGAGCAGGACGTGTGCACTGCACCCCGCGCCGGGAGCTTTGGAAGGTGGAGGCAGAAGGCCCCCAGTGAAGGGAATGGTTTAAAACTCCCAGAGGGGAAACTGAGGTCAGGTGTGAAGGGGAAATCCTTCCCTCAGAGGGCAGTAAGGCCCTGGCGCTGCTGCCCAGAGCTGTGGTGCCCCATCCTGGAGGTGCCCATGGGGTGGGGGGCACCCAGACATGGCAGGAGTGGGGCTGGGGGCCTTTGGGGTCCTTCCAGCCCAGCCGTGCTGTGACCCCGTGGTTTTATGATCTTGAAGGAGCCACCTGACCCAAACTTTGTGGGGTTTGGGGGTTCCGTAGCTTTAAGGACCCCTCCAACCTCACCCATTCCATGCTCCTGTGATCTTTAAGGACCCATCTAACCCAAACTGTCTGTGGTTGTGGACCTTTATGACCTTTAAGGACCCATTCAACCAAATACATTCTGTGGTTCTGTGACCTTTAAGGACCCATTCAGTCCTACAGATTGTATGGTTCTGTGACCTGCAAGGACCCATTCAAGCCAACACATTCTGTGGTTCTGTGACCTGTAAGGACCCATTCAACCCAACACATTCTGTGGTTCTGTGACCTTCAAGGACCCATTCAACCCAACACATTTTGGGGTTCTGTGACCTTCAAGGACCCATTCAACCCAACACATTCTGGGGTTCTTTGGCCTTTAAGGACCCTTGCAACCCATGCGAGGATTCTGTAGTCTGCTGACCTTTAAGGTCCTTTTCAACTCAACCCATTTTTGGTTCCGTGACATTTAAGGGTCCTACAAGCAGAAATCATTCTGTGAATCCACACTTTGGTGATCTTGAAGGTCGCATCCAGCCCAAACCATTCCGTGCTTCTGTCATCTTCAAGGTCTTTTCCAGCCCAAGCTCTGCTGTGACCCCGTGGCTCTGTGATCTTTAAGGACCCGGCCAACCTTCCCCATTCCGTGCTTCTGTGATCTTTTAGGACCCTTCCACCCCAGACCCTTGGTTCTGTCATTCAGCTCACAGCTGCAGGCCACCTCGTGGTCTAAAAGGAGGCTGAGCTGTAAATGCTCTCCAACCCGTAGTAGAGAAGGGCTGAAAGGTACAGAGGAGCCTTTCTTTCTGGGATGGGTGGGATGGGAAGAGGGAGGAAAGCAGCAGAGGGGTAATTAAGGCAGAAGAGAAGGAGGAGCTGGGCCAAAGTGTCTTGATCTCTGTGTGTCTGCCTCTCAGCTGAAAGCAGTGCATGAGCAGCTTGCAGCCCTGTCCCAGCCCCAGCAGAACAAACCAAAGAAAAAAGAGAAGGACAAGAAGGAGAAGAAGAAGGAGAAGCACAAAAAGAAGGAAGAGCTGGAAGACAGCAAGAAGAGTAAAGCCAAGGAACCGCCGTCCAAGAAGGCCAAGAAAAGTAACAGCAACAGCAGCACCTCCAGGTCAGCCCTGTTTGCGCTGCAGTCGTGTTTTGCTGCGCTGCAGCGCGTGCCGTTTGTGCTTTTCCCTCTGATCACTTTGCATGGGGGTCTTGCAGAGCAGCACCCGCAGCTTCAGCAGGGCTCACAGCCACCCCTCACCCGGGGCTGCTTTAATTAAGGATGGGAGAGAAGAGCTCTGCGAGTCGGGCCGTTGAACCCTGACCCCCTCCGTTCTCTCCCTCCTGCTTCAGTTGGAGCCGTGGGTTCTGAAGCGAGGGGTCAGGAGCTGAGAGGAGCTCCTGCTTGGGCTGCAGGGTAAACACCTGCAAGCACGGCCGCAGATCTGCCTCCTTGTTTCTCTCCGGCCCAGCAGACAGCACAGAGCATCCTCTGCCCCTGCTGCTGCTGCTTGGCAGCGCGTTTCCCTATAAGCGTCGGGTTTTGCTCTGCCTAAGGGGAGGCCGTGCTGCCCCGAGGCCTCAAAGCAGCGCAACCCCCTGCAGGGAGGTGGGCAGCGTTGCTCTGCTCTGGGCTTTCATCCATCCCAGTGCAGACGTACAGAGCTCTGCCTGCAGCCGCTCGTTTCTGAGAGCGTAGCTGTGAGATAAGAGGACGAAAGCAGCTGCTGGTGCCTGCAGAGCTCCCTGCTGCTGTTCCTTGCGGTAGCAGTAGGCGCAGCCGCGCTGCTGTAACGCAGCAGAAGCGAGCAGCTGCTTCTTGCAGCGTCTCCCTGTTCTGTTGTGTGCCATAATGACGTGTTACAATTGTTCCTAAGTAGTAAGAAGGAGCCGGTGACGGTGAAGAACAGCAAGCCCCCTCCAGCCTACGAGTCTGAGGAGGAGGAGAAGTGTAAGCCGATGTCCTATGAGGAGAAGAGGCAGCTGAGCCTGGACATTAACAAACTGCCCGGCGAAAAGCTGGGCCGAGTTGTTCACATCATCCAGTCGAGAGAACCCTCGCTTAAAAACTCCAATCCCGACGAGATTGAAATTGACTTTGAGACGTTAAAACCTTCCACGTTACGGGAGCTGGAGAGATACGTAACGTCGTGTTTGAGGAAGAAGAGGAAACCTCAAGGTACCTTTCATCCTCACAGCAGTTCCCCTCACAGCCCAGTGCTGCGTTGCCACCTTTAGGCCCTTTCCTGTGCGATGGGGTGAGGAGAGCAGCTGCCGCTCCTCCAGCGAAAGGAATGAAGGCCCAGCGGCCGTCCGGTAGATCCGGTGCCTCTGACTCGAGGCCTTGGGTTCTCAGCCTCCCTCTAACGTAAATATTTTCTCCCAAAAGATGTCTGTGTGAAGAGGAGAGGTTAAGGGCAGCGTTTCGCTCGGCGCCGCGTCCTGCAGAGCCGCTGCTGCTCCTCCTCCTCCCTGCCGAGCCGCGGGGCCGGAGGAGCTCTGTTGCGGCCGCGGTGTGCTGGAGCACATCTTGATCCTCCCTGAAACCCTGTGGGATTCGGAGGGCTTCTTTCTCCCTGTGGCCGGCATGGTGTAAACCCGAGCAGAAAGGAAAGCTGCCCAGATTTGAGGCTTGTTTAAAGCACTGAGGTGGTTGGGCTGCAGCTCAGCGCATCCTCAGGGGTACAGCAGAGCCCTGAGCGCCTCCCGGCCTTTAATTGGAGTTTTAACTGGGAGTTTAAGCTCTTAAAAAGGCACCCTTGTCCTTCTTCCCTGGGCCAGGAAGCCAGAGCAGCAGCAATATTACATTTTCAGCACTGGGAGCCCCCAGCTGGGCTCGGGGTGGCAGAGAGGAGCACGGTTTGGAGGCTCTGGGTCCCTTCCCGTCCCTTTGACCATTCATTTTGTGCTGTTGTCTTCTTGCAGCAGAGAAGGTGGATGTAATTGCTGGTTCCTCTAAAATGAAGGGGTTCTCCTCCTCAGAGTCTGAGAGCACCAGCGAGTCCAGCTCCTCCGACAGTGAAGATTCAGAAACAGGTTAGATGCAGCTTATTTAAAGACTCAGTCCTATACCTGTTTTCTGTATAAATAAATATGTTTTCATTACCGGCTTGGTCTTTAATTTTTTGTCTTTGTAATTAAAACCAATATTATACACAGCGTAGGAGCTGCATGCTGCCCTCCGCGTCCAGCTTGGCAGTAGCACTGTTGTCTCTGGCACTTCTCAAGCACTGCAAGGTATTGTCAGGAGCGTTGACTTTGCTGAGGTTGGCTGTGGGTGCAGGAGCTGAGCTGCAGTGGTGCCAGGGTGGCTGTTTGTCCGTCTGAGGACGTAGCTGTGTGTTTTTAGGGAGCTGCTGTGTTGTCCTGGCTGGAGGCTCGATCTGTTCTTGCCAGGAGGAGGAACCTCGTGTTTGTGTAGCGGAGCCCTTTCTAAAAAGCAGGGGGGTGCTTCCAGGGCAGCCCTGCTTTGCTCTCCTCCCTTCTGCCCTCCTGGGCTGGGCTCGGGCTGCTCACCTCCTTTGGAGCGCTGTGCTTTCTCTGTAGCACCGCTTGCTGCCGTTCCCTCCTGGGTTTTGCATCGCCAAAGCTCCGTGCGGTCGACTGAAGCTGTTTTCTGTGGCAACTAACTCAGCTTGGAGGTGGTATCGGGCTCTTCCCAGCACAGAAATAGGAGGAACAGAGTCGGTGTGCAGGGCAGGAGATGAACCTGGAGCTGCTTGCATGTGCTTCGGTCTGCGTAGGTCTGCTTGGATCTGTTTGGGTCTGCTTAGGTCTGCTTAGGTCTCCTTGGATTGATGTAGGTCTGCTTAGGGTCTGCTTGGATCTATTTGGGTCTACGTAGATCTCCTTGTCCTGCTTAAATCTACTTGGATCTATTTGGGTCTACGTAGATCTCCTTGTCCTGCTTAAATCTACTTGGATCTGCTTGGGTCTGCGTAGGTCTCCTTGGATCTGCAGAGGTCTCCTTGTCCTGCTTAGATCTGCTTGGATCTATTTGGGTCTACGTAGATCTCCTTGGGTCGATGTAGGTCTCCTTAGGTCTGCTGAGGTCAACTTGGATCTCCTTGGGTCTGCTTAGATCTCCTTGGATCTGTTTGGATCTATGTAGGTCTCCTTGGGTCTGCTTAGGTTGAGTTCCTTGGATCTACGTAGGTCTCTTTGTCCTGCTTAGATCTGCTTGGATCTGTTTGGGTCTGCTTAGGTCCACTTGGATCTTTTTGGATCT